TTGCCATCAATTCATATTGCTGCTTGTTATTGCTGGGTTTTTCCACCTGCCAGCACCTCCTTGTAAACTACTTAACTATGAGAAATGCTAAATATCTGTATTGATGTGTGGGAGTGATGGAGTGCCTGATGGTGCATTGTCAGGAGAACTGTCCTCTTTTTAAGAGTCTTCTTCAGGAAGCTCATGCTAAGCAGACCTAGAAGAAAGGGAAAAAAAAAGAGTGAGGATGATACTGAACTTTTGCATGTGATGATCTTTAGCAATTTCTTGTAGTTGTGAAACATACTGAATGTTTCCTAAGGTGAATAGAGTTACAATATCAAGTAAGCTGCCAGCTTCACCTTCTCCAATGTTTATGATTCACCTATACAGTGATTGCCAGTCTTTTCCTGCTTTGCTTGGGTGAGATGTTAGCTATGACATTACATACTATTCTGTTCTGTAAAAAGAGTAGGCATGAGTGAGGTTCAAAAGATAACAGGAGCTGTAGATTGAGAAGGAGCAAATGGAATGAGGATGGGAGAAGTGAATAAATGGAAAGTCAAGTAGATAGAATGCTAATATAAGTAAACAATGCTGAGTGCTCATTGTACAATGCTAAGGTGCGAAAAAAGCAAAGAAAGAGGTGAGTGTTTGGAATGCTGGGGAAGGAGGTGGAAGTATTGTCAGATTGTTAAAAGATATGAAGAACTATACTTACCCTTGTTGCTCCAAGTTCAATAAATCTCTTCCTACATTGAAATCAGATCCTGGGGGTGATATTGCTGGCACCTTCCTCATCAGCCTCCTTTATCTATGCATGATAGTGTCCCTAGAGACAGTCTTGTGGCAGCTAGGGAACAGTATCCCTCGCTTACATATTTCATCATGAAGACCTCCAAAGAGGTATTTGAAAAACCTGTTAGCAATGCTAAAATTCATTAAAAATGAAAAATTGCTTTAAGTGGCACATTCCTGCTTTAAACAAGCCTTGGCAGACTTTCCAGAAATTGTGCTGAGAAAATGGGTGTGCCAGGAAGAAAGCAGTCCAAACACAAAGGCAGCCTTTCAATCACACTAAAATATGACCCTGTATTTATAATCACATGGATCTAACAGTAGCAAATGGGGGCATTTGTTTTGGAAACTACAGACAAAGATAGTGAATGAAATTTTTTTTGAAAGTATTTTGAGCAATATGCTTGATTCTGTTCCTTTCTTTGTATTTATAATGTTTGTGCATCAGTGATCATTGGATATTCAAATATTTCAGGTTGATGACAAAAACTTAGCAAACTGAAACATTAGCTCTTTCTTTCTCTCCAAAGAAATATCTAGAACATTTCTTGACTCAAATTTATTTCAGATTTCCAACATCCACAGCATTTGTTTCTGATTGGTGTTTTTTTTAATTTCAGTAAATTAAAATGCATCACGTCAGAAAGTAGCACTTATAAGAAGCAACAGAATATAGGCATTGATTGTGTTCTGATTTTCATAGTTATGATATTGAAATTAGACTTTCCTATTATCACCACTAACTATCATTATGATCTTCCTAACTACTTATGTGGAATTCATAAAAACTAAAAGAACTGCGGATGCTGTAAATCAGGAACAAAAACAAAATTGCTGGAAAAGCTCAGCAGGTCTGGCAGCATCTGTGAAGGAAAAAATAGAGTTAACGTTTTGGGTCCGGTGACCCTCCCTCAGTTCTGAGGAAGGTTCACCAGACCAGAAACGTTAACTCTGTTTATTCCTTCACAGATGCTCCCAGACCTGCTGAGCTTTTCCAGCAACTTTATTTTTGTATGTGGAATTCATGTAGGGGTAGTGTACACCATAAAATACTAAATAATGATATAGCGAGCAGTTGGAAACAAGAAATTTCAAAAGAACAGAGGCAGATGGTTCTTGCACATATGACATCTATAAAATAAATGGGATGGTGGTTAATCTACAGAAAATAGAATTCATTTAGTCTAAAACTGTTCATTTTTGTCATATGAAACTGTACACTTTTTATGAGTTGTCCCTTTCTGTTGTGTGATGCATGGTGAAACATGCCAACAATGAAATATACAATAATTGAATGATAATGCTCTAGCAAAAAGCAAAGAAGAGACATCAGGAGCATTTAAATTGCTTTCACTAGCCTTGTATCTATATAGATATACATAATATCCATCTTTTGATGGGCCATTTGGTATCATAAAGGTCTGGTCCAATTTGTTTTTCCTCTTTGATACAAGTATTCATTGCATATTTTAACTCTCCACATTTCTGATCACTAAAAAGAAACTAAAAAAAAATTTAGGTCACACCATAGATCATTCTTGATCTTGATCACACTGTGTAAGAGTTACTAGGAAGCTTAAACGGAAATTCTTAGATTGAACAAGCAACTATTTTCGCCATCTGAACCACTTCAATTCTTACTACTTGAAGTAAAGCGTGTTAAAAATGCACAGCAAAAATTGCAGAGGTCAAGTATATTTTTCTTAAAATGGTATGCTATCTTTAAAGGTGACTAAGAAATTCATCTTATTTCAAATAACAGCTCTTTTGCTCCAAGTAGCAGTGCATCATCTGCTTTGCATCCTCCCATGAATTATTTATCAAACGTTCTGGTAATTGGGTACACTGGGACTCAAAATAAAGTATATTAATATTCATTAGAAAACCCATAGTTAGATTTAACAGAAAAATACACGTCACTCCAAAGCATAGACCTGATATGGCATTTGTGTTCTTTTAGAATTTGTCTGATAAAACTGATAAAATATTCTTACAGCAGGTTTAAAGGAAAAGTCTATGTTTTCTAAAAGAAAATTCAGAAATTATATACATTTGTGACAGATATTTATATATTTCACACCATTAAAATTTTAGAAGTTAATTAAGATTTAAACAATCTTTCAGTAGAAACCACCCTTGCTTCAGGTGTTTGCAACATTTCAATGAGAAGGTATTAAAAAAAAAATTCCCAGCCTCTTCTTCAGTGGTAAGTGAATGTTTTTGATGAGATTTACTAAAATGTAGCCTTTGCCAAGTTTGGTAGAATATTCGCCACCAGTGATGATGTTGAATGAACCCTGCACAGACACTTTGGTTTCTCTCTGTCATTTACTATTAGAATAGGTAGCAAGCAACTACAGTCTCTTTCCCCATGTATGTCCACTTGTGAATTTGTGCAGTGAATACTCAGGGACTATTGAACGCCTCTCCAGGAATAAAAGCCCAGCAATCTCTCAGGCTTCAATCACTATCTGCCCAGAGCAGATTAATAACCACACTACAGTGAACCAGGGACTCAGTTACCACAGAAACAAGAATTTCAGCTCAAATTTAAGGCATGCATTTTATTTAGTTTACCTTTGCCTGATAACATACAGCATAGTGGCATCATAATATTACAAGATAGTGCTGCAAACTGGAATAATTTCACAATATGGCAGCCTGCTCTATGTTAATCTGCACTAGAAAGAACACTATTATTTAAATGATTAAATGATGCAAAATGAAAACACTGGAGGGATATCACCTAGGGTTTAAATAATAAATTCCATCTATCATTTTTATTTCTGAAAACACAGATTTTTCCTTTAAATTTGATATTTCTATGAGCGGCTAATTTCAAGATGATACAAGCTGGTTCATGAGAATGTTTATGTAAAGAGAATTCACATATCAATTTATTGCCTACACATTCAGTAGTGTTTCCATCACAGTGACTGGATAACAGGGATGGTCTGCTTACCGGACATATTTGGAGCTTTGCGCTGTACCATTTTTAACAAAAATGCCTTATCAGGTTTATTCTTTTCAACTTACTTTAATTTGGACATTATCAGTACAATTTATAAATCCCAAAACAGTCAACATTTTGCCAAAAGTCACCGGAGTATAAAAAAAGTGACACAAAGGAATGCAATATTGTAAATAAAAATTCCTTTTGGCCAAAAACACACTGGCTAGCATTTCCAATTTATGGAGAATTTAATGAGCTGGGCTCATTTAAAGAAAAAAAATTTGAGATATGCGTTGAAGGGAGGTGTAAAAGTGGAGTAGGACTTGAAAAAGTATTTCTTCCTACCATCAAGGGATCAAGTTACAGACCCAGCATTGATCACTTTAAGTGACTGCATTTCTAACACTTTGAACTTGCTGTCTGGGGACTCAGGGGATAAGGTGTAGATGACCTGAAGTTACTACCCTCTTTTATACCTTTAACATGCAGCTATTGTAGTTTTTCTGCTGCTGAAAGAAAGCTTGACTCAGCTTTTACCAGAGTGGATAGGAAAATCACTGGCTTAACAATGACATTGGAAAGATTGGCAGGTAGGCAGAAATAAGTGACATATAATAAAGATCAAGACATTCACAGCAATTCAGGTCTAGCAAAAATGAATATGATTTTACCTTCATTGCAAGTATAAGTTCCTATTATCTCAATCATGAACATATTTACATACAGAGAAGGAGCACGAGTTTTATTATGACAGTTTAATTGATGTAAAATATTATTTAAAATGTTAAGATTTAGCTTGAAGAGGTAGGTGCCAAGCTCTGTGGGAGAATGGCACTGTTCATACATAAGGTTACACTTTATTTAAACTTCAAACTCAAATATCAGCGTACTATACCATAATTACACCAGCTTTGTGTTTGGGAAACAAATTCATCAATTTAAAAAAATTACGAAAGTGTTTGGATCCTCGCTATCTACCTTGGGCTACAACCAAAGTCATAATGCAGTGAAACTGCAATGTGAAAAAAAAAAGCAGCCAGCAACCATTAATTTAATATTGTACAATATCTCATAATATCTTATCCCAGAAACCCTGGCAGGTAATCAAACATATGTACTGATATAAAAGCACAATTTACATATTAAGCTTTTCGCCTACATTTGTTGCTTTGCTTGTTTCTCCAAGCTGGCTTGAGGGGAATGTGTAGTGATATCTGTGGATGTGGACTGCAGACGAATCCCAGGCTGAAGCTGGGAGAGTAGGCTGTACCTGTGACACTGTGATACCACATTTCTTTGCCAGTTCCTCTTTGGCTTCCTCACTAGGGTAGGGATTACTCAGGTGGGAGTAGAAATACTCGTTCAGAACTTCCGTGGCTTGTTTGCTGAAATTACGTCGTTTTCGCCTTTGAAATGAAGGAAAAAAAATTTTGAGTGTCACTGTCTTAAAGTGAGTCTCAAGCATCTAACATTTTCCTTCTACATCAGACCAAATCGGTTTACTGTATCACTAGTTTACTCAGCCTTTTCGGTTTTTCAATTTGCATGTTGAATTTGCCGAGCTAAAAAAATTAAACTGGAAAACAAATACCATCAAATTGAATATTTTACTCTCAATTTTGTTGTACACAAGCTCAATCTTTTCTAGCCATCAAGTTAGAAAGCACACCATAAAATAAAATGCCATTTGGCCTATCAGTTCTTGCCAACCCGTTTGAAATATTTATCCACCTTAACTTGCTCTTCTGCTCTTTACCATTGAGACCACACTATTCTCTCCTTCAAGTATTTCTCCAATTCCTTTGAATTTACTTCTCCACCTTTTCAGGCAATGCATTCTAGATCATAATAATTAACATAATTGTTGTGGTTGGTTGGCTCACCGAGCTGGTTTGTTGTTCCACAGACGTTTCATTATCCTGCTAGGTAACATCAGTGCAACCTCCATTGAAGCGCTGTTGTGTTTTCCCGCCTGTTATTTAAACTCTGGTGTCCGTTGAGCTGGATTACCTCACTTCCAGTTTTCCTGCGCAATGGAGTGTATATGGGATCTAGCTCTATGTGTTTATTGATGGCTTTCTAAGTGGAGTACCAGGCTTCTAGGAATTCCCGTCCTTGTCTCTGCTTTGCCTGTCCCAGGATCCTGGTGTTGTCCCAATCAACTGGTGGTTTTCTTTATCCATGTGGATGGAGATGAGTGAGCAATGGTTGTGTCTTTTTGTTGCTAGTTGATGTTCGTGTACTCTTGTGGTTAATTTCCTTCCTGTCTGTCCAATGTAATGTTTGTTGCAGACTTTGCAGGGAATCTTATCTATGACATTGGTCCTGTCCATGGTGGGTAGTGGGTCTTTGGTTCGGGTGAGCAGTTGGCATGGGGTTGATAGGGTAGAGTAGCACACAAACCCACATCAACCCTATGCCAACTGCTCACCTGGACCAAAGACCCACTACCCACCATGGACAGGACCAATGTCATATACAAGATTCCCTGCAAAGACTGCGACAAACACTACATTGTGTTTGGACAAACAGGAAGGAAATTAACCACAAGGCTCCATGATCATCAACTGGCAACAAAAAGACAAGACCAATACTCACTCATCTCCATCCACATGGATAAGGAAAACCACCAATTCGATTGGGGCAACACCAGGATCCTGGGACAGGCAAAGCAGAGACAAGGATGGGAATTCCTAGAAGCCTGGTACTCCACTAAGAAAGCCATCAATAGACACATAGAGCTAGACCCCGTATACACTCCATTGCGAAGGAAAACTGGAAGTGAGGTAATCCAGCTCAATGGACTCCAGAGTTTAAATGACGGCAGGAAAACATAACAGCGCTTCAATGGAGGCTGCACTGATGATGTTACCCAGCAGGGTAATGAAACGTCTGCAAAACAATGAACCAGCTCAGCGAGCCAACCAACCACAGCATCCACAACCCGAGCTACAAATCTACTCTAAAACCTTAGAATTAATATAATTCATAATAAAAAGACCTATCCTTTCATCTCAGTTCTTTCGCCAATTACCTTAAGCTGCTGTCCTTCCATTACTGACCCTTCTCACAGTAGGGTGATTCATTCTGAGGTGATTCATTTTGGAAGGACAAACTTGAAAGCAGAATACAGGGTTAACGGAAAGATTCTTGGCAGTGTGGAGGAGCAGAGGGATCTTGGGTTTCATGTTCACAGTTCCCTGAGAGCTGCCACCCGGGTGGATACAGTTGTTAAGAAGGCATATGGTGTGTTAGCTTTCATTAATAGAGGGATTGAGTTCAAGAGCCGTGAAGTTATGCTCCAGCTATACAAAAGCCTGGTTCGGCCACATCTGGAGTATTGTGTCCAGTTTTGGTCACCTCATTACAGGAGAGATGTGGAAGCATTAGAAAAGGTGCAGAGGAGATTTACCAGGATGTTGCCTGGAATGGAGGGAAGGTCTTACGAGGAAAAGTTGAGAGAGCTAGGGATTTTCTCTTTAGAACGACGAAGGATGAGAGGTGACTTGATAGAGGTGTACAAAATGATCAGAGGTATAGATAGAGTGGACAGCCAGAGACTTTTTCCTAGGGTGGAGGTAGCTTTTACGAGGGGACATAGTTTTAAAGTGAAAGGAGGTAGATATCGGGGAGACGTCAGAGGTAGGTTCTTTACTCAGAGAGTGGTCGGGGCGTGGAATGCATTGCTGGAGAGCGTCGTGGAGTCGGCCTCATTAGGGGCATTTAAGCAGCTATTAGATAGGCATATGGATGATAGTATAAGGTAGCGGTGGAGGTTAGATAGACCTTAGGTTTAGGGTAAAAGTTCGGCACAACATCGTGGGCCGAAGGGCCTGTACTGTGCTGTACTGTTCTATGTTCTATGTTCTGTGTTCTAGAAATAGTTTATCCTTAGTTACCCTATAAAAATCATTCATATGCATGAATTTTTCAGTGATAATGAAACTGTCAACAAATTTGCACATGCAGAGAATAACAGGAAAAACCAAAAGTTGCTGTTAGTGATTCTACAATCTATGAGAGTCTGCGGGCTTACATCACTATCTCCAAGCAATCAGATTCTCACGCCTAATCTTGTAAAAACCCTTTAAAAAATTACACCTTGTTGAATGGGTTATTGATTTCTACCAAACACTCTTCACATGCCCTTTTATATTTGTGCAATGTCAAATTTCTCCTTGCTGATGAACAAAAGGTATATTTCAAAACATAGTTTGTTTTTAAATATAAGTTTATAGTCTTGCTTGTATCGTAATCTAATCATAATTTAAATTTTCAAGGACTCCGCAGTAAAATAAACTGAAGGTGATGGATTCTGTAGTGTAGTGGCTATCACTTTCACCCCACTCGTGAAAGGTCTGCAATTTAAAACTGGGCAGAAACAGCGAGCTGCCTGAACAGGCCCTTTTGTGGTACAGTGGTAGTGCTCCTACCCTGGACTAGGAGGCCAAGATTCATGTGTCAGAGGTGTGCAATAACATCTGTGAACAGGTTGATTAGAAAAGTAAGTTAAATAAAACGAAAACTTCCTACTTTCTGGTCTTTGAGAGTGCCTCAATGTATTCTAATTACTGTACTTTCTGATATCGCTGTAGCAAGACGCCTTGAGATCTTCTTGTCTTGTCAGATGGTTTTCAATGCTGATTTGAATCTTCTCTGCTCTGAGAAGAACAATTTCAGCTTCTCTTATTTGCCACATAACTTAAGCTCCTCATTCCTGGTACCATTCAATTAGATCTTCTCTATGTTGTCTCCACACCATGGCCTTTTTTACTTCACTTATGGGGTATTGATGTCGCTGGCTGGGCTAGCATTTATTGCCCGTCCCTAGTTCGCTTTGATAAGGTGATTGTATGCTGTAGGTAGACCCACGAAAGGGAGGGAATTTCAGGATTTTGACCAGCAACACCGAAGGAACGGTGATATATTTCCAAGTCAGGATGGTGAGTGGCTTGGAGGGGAACTTGCAGGTTCCCATGCACCTGCTGCTCTTGTCCTCCAAGCTGGAAGGGATCGCGGGTTTGGAAAGTGCTGTCTAAGGATCGTTGACAAATTTCTGCAGTGCATCTTGCAAATAGTATATTCTGCTGCTATTGAGAGTTGCCTTGATGGCCTTCCTATAGTGTGAACTGGAAACAATTCTCCAATAAGCAATCAATATAGATAGATTTAATCTATTTTACAGAACATGTATCATACATTCAAGATGAAATGTTTTCCTTGAAACAGAACAGGTAAAGCTAAATAGGATGAATTTTTTTTAACCTTTCTTATACATTCAAGTGAAGCATATATAGAACATAGAACAGTACAGCACAGTACAGGCCCTTTGGCCCACGATGTTGTGCTGACCTATTATCCTACTCTAAGATCAAACTACCCTGCATACCGTTCATTTTACTATCATCCATGTGACTATCCAAGAGTCGCTTAAATGTCCCTAATGTATCTGACTCCACTACACCGCTGGCAGCGCATTCCATGCACCCACCCACTCTCTGTATAAAGAACTTACCTCTGACATCTCCCCTATACATTCCTCCAATCACCTTAAAATTATGCCCCCTCGTAATAGTCATTTCTGCCCTGGGAAAAAGTCTCTGGCTATCCACTCTATCTATGCCTCTCATCATCTTGTAAACCTCTATCAAGTCACCTCTCATCCTTCTTCGCTCCAATGAGAAAAGCCCTAGCTCCCTCAACCTTTCCTCATAAGACCTGCCCTCCAGTCCAGGCAGCATTCTGGTAAATCTCCTCTGCACCCTTTCTAAAGCTTCCAAATCCTTCCTATAATAGGCGACCAGAACTGAACACAATATTCCAAGTGTGATATCTGTTCCAAGGTCATGCGCTAAGTGGCTTAGCAAACAGTGGACACTCAATAGTTAAATGGCACAAAATTGAGATAGATGGTTTCTATTGTTTGGATGTTACAGGTGCTATTTAAGGACTAATATAATGCACAGAGTGTTCACGTTCACTTTTGCAAGAAACTTTATCGTAACCATGTTGGAGTAGATGCTAAAAGGAGCCTAGTCTTCACCCATCTGGGACATTTTATTTGTAACAACACATTACATATTGTGCACTCAATCGAACAACCAGTTTCCTTAGATCCTATAACTATGTATTCATCTGTGCTCATATATAAATGTTCACCATTTGAATACATTTAAATATCCAACTGTTGCCTGATTAATAAGGACACCCAGCAGCACTTTTTTAAAGGATCATGAACTGCTGACAGGTTAGTTGTTAATTAATTTCTTCTGGTTGTTGTTGGAATTCCATATGTGTTTGCTGGCTGTATAGTTGTTTAAAGATACAAAAGGTCTACAGGGAGTGGTGCAGCAGTGCTTAATGGCTTTTTGCTGACTTCAAAGTTTATACGCAAATCAGTTGCTCCCAGGCATAGGTTCACTAATAATCAACTCTCTTGGAATTCAGTGCAATTTAGAAGTTGAA